TATTCCTCTGACGACATTTGTTTTAAAGTCAGTTTCAAAGTAAAAGAATATTCCGAGGGCTAAAGCATTTCCATGGTAGCCTGTCAGTTTACATGAATTATTATAACATCTCGACTTGATGTGACCAGGCTATCACTTCAGTGTTTTAATATCAATAATGGTAGTATTGGTTCATCCATCAGATTTTTATCGGTTTTTTTTCAAAGTCAGCCTCAAATGACACCCGACAAAATTCAGGTTTAACTTTATAACCCCTAAGAGTGACTAGTATCTAATTTCTCTTCACAATATCACCCCTGAATCAAACATTGAGGTCACAAGAAAAGGTAGTGAACGCCTACTAAGAATTCGGAGCTCTTGATCGTTAACAAAACTCTTCTTGTTTATACCATAGGAAATGTATTAAGAAATATTATGAAGGGTAAACATGTATATTACATGTTTATCATTATCACAGTAATGAACTTATCGAAATTCTAGAAGAGAAATTGATAAGTATGTAAGACTATCGAGCTTAAGAAAGATTTTAAAAAGGATCATTTTATAAAAGTGTAACTTTCAATTCTCGGAGCATACTTACTCTGAATTGAGCCCAAAAAGCTAAGAAATTTAACGATCAGAATCCAAGGTTTTAAGTGACAAAATTTCAACTTTGATCTTTATACAAAGCAATTGAGGAATATTGATTTTTTAGAGTATCGTACATAATTTTTGCGCTAAGAGCTAAATTTTTTTACAGTTATGCACCTTGGCTTTCATTGAATAGATCGATAAGACCTTGTAAAGATGTAAAAGAAAATGCCTAGTGCTGAGTTATCACATTAAACCTCTCGGAGATTTAAAAAAGAGTTCTTAGAAACTTTTTGGGAAACATTTTTTTTAGTTTTATGTTTTTAAACAATTCAGCATTTTAGCCTCGATGTTGTAATAAACTATACAAAAGAACTAACTCCTCAGAAATGTGCACTACGAACTCTAGAAAAACGCCTAAAGAATGTAAAATTTTTAAGTTCCAAGGTTTCTTTCAGATATCAGACCATAAACAATTCAACCTTGCATAGATAGGAAAAGAATTCAAGGAAAACAATCAATTCTATTGATCCATGGGCGATATCTGCCTTGACTTCAGTCTTAGTTGCTGCGGAGTCTTGATAAATTAGAGAAAAAGGTTTGCATTTACCAAGGCGTGAAACGAATGAAAGATAAAAAAAAACGACTTAATTTTTTTCTCAGGCTCAATGACAACAAAATTTGACATTTAGGCACATTGGAAAGTTCTCATTTAGGAAAATCAGAAAGATAAACTGATCATGCAGAAATCTAGTAATTAATTTTAAATCCTGTGTATTCTTTGTGTTTGGTTTTAGCCTCCGAAGCCAAGACATTTCATAGTTGGCAAAACTTCGAGGTTTTGGTCAGAAAGAGTAAAAAATTTGATTACAATAACAGGACCTTTATATAGAAACAAAATGGTAGTATTGATTCATAAAACTAAATGTTATGTAAACTATTAAAAAAGCACCTCAATTAGAGAGAGAATCGAATAAAAAGAAGAAGAAATTATAATTATTTGTAATTCTCTTTCATGTATACTTTGTCTGGTTTTGTCTAGACATTCATTAAGTCCAGGTTTATAATTCAAATCAGACCAGTTACACGCAGCTTGAAGACATGTCGTAAAATGATCAAAAATTATCTCCAAAGTCAAAATTTGTTGTCATATCGGGAATGAAACACTAAGTGCGAAAAAAAAATCGAAACCGATATCACTCGTTTTCAAACTGGAATTGTGTCTCTGTCGCAATGTTAAATACTGTGACTTGCTTGCTATAGTTGCCACTATGATCTGAATGATCCCTTTGGGACTTATGCGAACAAAAGAACTATCGTCTGATGATAGAGCGCATTTCGATTAAGCGTCATAAATTAAAAGCAGAGAAAACAACAGCCAATCACAGCAAGGAAAATATTACTAGTAGCCAATGATAACTTAAGTAAAAACTAGCAAACTGCCTGAAGCGCGAGAAAACACAAGTGGCCAAGTCGCGATTGGTTTTAATTTCGAATCTGATTGGTTAAAAGGATGGCGCGAGTTTTGTAGACCAATCACAGAGCAGAATAAAACAAAAACAAAGTAACACCGGTAACTTTCGACACTCAAATTCAAAAAGTTACTCTAATACTGGCAGCCTTTTAACGTCAAAAGAGCTTAAGTGGGTCTTTCCGGGAAGCTCAGTCATTGATATTAGTTGTATTTTTGATACAATTCGATTCTAGTCTGCCAACTTTTCAAATGCATCTTCATGAGACAAGGAATTTTCAACATTTTGACGTGAATGTGTACTACCATTGGAGGTTTCCTTTAGATAAAAATAAAAAAACTACACGACTAACCTTGTAAGAGGGACTCAAACTCTTTTTTCTTCCTTTTATCTCTTGATATTTAGAACATTATCATTCTATTTTTTCACTCTCCTCTAAAGCGGGAAAAAGAGAAAGATATCGTTAATACATGCAAATATATTGTTACGAGAGTATACTTTTGAGAGAGCTTTTCGATCAAGTGCCGTAAACTAAAACCAAATTAATAATTAAACGGCCAATCAGATGGAAGGAAAATACCCTGACGAGCCAATGGGAACTTAAGCAGACACAACCAAAAGCGCAGGAAAACGCGGGCGACCAAGTCCTGATTGTTGTTAGTTTTGCATTTGATTGGTAGAGAAATGGTGCGAGTTTTTTGAACCAATCGCATGCAAAGTCAAGCAAAACCAATGCAATCCCGTTTTACTTTCAAAACTCAATGGTAAATTTCTCCGTAATTATTGACCATTTCAGTGTCTGAATAGAGAAGCTATTCAGAGGCACCACATTTCACTTTGACAATCTTAGTGTCCTTAATCGTACACAGGCAATGACTAAGCTAATACTCTGTAACAAAAATTAGGGATCACCGACCTCATTTCAACTTTGGGACTTCAGTTTATGAGAGCACATAAGTGCTTAACACGCTAGACCGTTGCTATGATAATTTCGTACGACATAGGAATGGTCATAACACTAACATTGACCAAGTATTTCTTTGAAACCAGTGAGTTATCAGAAACAAGTACAAACAAGTACAAACAAGTAGCATGGCTTCATCAAAGTGAAAGAACAACGTCAAGTCACTTTAATCATACTGAGATCGATGCAAGTATGATGTTAATCAATATGGGCTTTTTTTCTGGCCTTTTTCATTAATTCTAGATATTCGCTAACTCCAGGTTTAGGTATTTTGATAAAAATGCAGACCAGACTTGCTGGGTTCAGACTGATAACTGAAGGTAAACTCCATGACATTTTTTACCATTGTTTTCTTTGAACAAAGACCTTGATGCATTATTGGGTACGGGGTTCCGAAAGAAATGTTGTTCCTAAGTCTACTGTACACCCATCTTTTGCTTTCTACTCGATTCAAACTACTTTACAGAGCAGTTTTACACCCCGATGGAGCTCTAGATAAACAACAAGACTATAAAATGCGGCGCTATGAAGGTCTCGCGCCAGACCAACCTCGGGGAAACAAATTTCAAATGGCAAATGACATTACGACTCTTCTTGGCACCGAGATAGTCCTCAAATAAATCTTTTGAAAACTTACCTCAAGGCTACCATCTTTAACTTCATTTTTCTGTATTCGCTGCTCATAATTCCTTCAAACATTGCAAAAAACCTTTCCAATCCACGGCGTCCTTGAAAGTTGAAACGCAACGTGGCTTGACGAAGGAAAAAAATTCCCACGTTGAGCCCATTTCGAATATCAATTTTGCATAATATTATCATCAAAAAGTGTTTGGCATTGGCCACTTCTTCACAAAAGAAAATTCGCGCGCTTTTTAAACCCCAATATGTGTTTAGAGAGTAGGCTTTCTCGAATAGTAGAAAAGGAGCATTGGTGAAAGCATTAACTTGTTGTTGTAACACTTTCTGCGCGAAAGGAAAATTTTCACTCTTCTAAGTTTCTTTGTTCATGTCCAGGCCGGTCGCAGATGATTTCAAGTACTTATCATATAACAAACACACGGACTAAAAAAAAAACTGAATTTTAATTCAATACATCTGTAACTACTATAAATGATATGTAATTTGCACTTTAATTTGCAAAACTTATGTTTCGTGAGGAATAAATTGTTTAAAACCTAAATATCAGTCTAAAAAAATGGTGGCTTCCTCGTTAGGTCTTATTCATTAACACAACAGCCGCAATTAAGTGCGTGATTAAAAGTTCTAGAATTCGTGGTCATAAAATTCTAGTAGGAACCCATCAAGTGATGAGCTTTTGATGGACATGTGACAAGTTCAGTTGTATGGCTGCAGTGATCCGTTGCTTCCTTGTGATAAACGGATGATTGCTCATGTCTAGCTATAGTGACTTTAAACACTTTTAAACCGTCACCAACGGCACTGATCTCTACGTTCCTGAGGCTAAGAACTCAGACCCTGAGTTTCTATAGTTTCGCTCCAGAGAATAGAGAAGAATAGAGTTGATCTCACTTCACTGAAGGCTTGGAACCTGTTTTATTATTCCGGGATATGTGCTTCCTTCAACTACAAGCACGTAAGTAAAAGAAAAGTGCTCTGATCTCCAGGAAGCATTTTCACAGGTTCCAGCCTTTCCAGCACATGCGCGGCTGATGGTAGGCCGCTGGCATGCGCCCCCTTCAGTGGTGGCGAGGTTTGCTGACCCACGGATGGCACCTGATCTGTTGTAATGTGGGGCGCGCATCTGGATCTCGCGACAACATCCATGAAATCAAATTCCGAGCCTCTGAAAAAAAATAAATTTACGTCCCGATCAATCTAATGGGAAAATGCTTAAATGAATTTGCATTGTAGCGGATGACATTTAGTATTACAATTTCCATTATTCTGATGATGAAAAATGAAAGGGGACTGTGGGCGAAACTTGTCTTAAACAGAGGTTATTTAAATATCCCTCAGGAATAATCCTCATTGTTTCATTTGATAATTATCTCCTTATCTCCAACAGTATCGTTTGTTCCAAAGTTCTTACCGTTGGAGACAAATTTAGGAACAGAAGGACGCATGTACAGGGCCATGCGTGGCTTGACGTATGGCATCTCATTCGACAGCATCTCAGCCAATAAGAAGCCAAGTTGCCAAACAGTGGCGTGGTTACCATGGAAACAACGATGGGAGTAGAACTCAGGGGGACAATAATGCTGAGTGCCTGGAAAGTGAATGGGAAGAAAAAACATAGAAATAAGTGGAAGTAATTTATTGAGATAAGTACATAAATAAATGATCGGACAAAGGATCAGACGGCTTTAAAAAAGCCTTTAAATATTTTTCTCTTGCCACAGGCCAACCCCATTTAATTACTTAATTCATCGTTAGCCAGCGAGCAGGCCCTCGTTATCAGCGCTTCGACACAAGCGTTTCTTCGCCTGCGTTCTTCGTTTCTTCGTTTCTTCGCTCGCGGGGAAAGTATGAGGCCTTGACCAACGCGCGTCGGCTGGGACTGATAATTGTTAAATTCAGACCCCCGGCCAAGCTCTTCCCGACTCATCTCAAATCCTCTCGCGGGCGGAAAAACATACGTCCTGCAGTGCTATTAACAAGGGCCTCCTCGTACGAACTTAACGAATCGTATACGAAAGTTTACGTCGTATAAGAGTGTCTGCTTTAAACCTGCCATTCACTAAAATACTTACCTACGAATTGCCTGAAGGGTTGGTCCTGTGCGTCACAAGCGAGACCGAAATCAGTCAGCTTGGCCTCCATTTTGTTCATATCTATGATGACATTTTCTGGCTTGATGTCCTGGTGTAGCACACCCTGTTCTTCGCATTGTATCGCTGCCTCCAGAATTTGAGAAAAGAGCTCTCGACCTTCGTCTTCAATCAGCCCTTCACATGCGTCAATGTAGTCGAACAAGTCCGCTGAATCTTCGGGACGCTCGAGCACGAACACGAAGTTATCTCCGTTGGTGAAGATATCCAGTAGTTGAATCACGTTCGGGTGCCGAACGTGGCGCTGAAAGTAAGCTTCGGCTGGGAACTGTTTTCCGTTTATCTGTTAAGGAGGGATGGGTCGGGAAGATTTAAGTTAATGAAAGTTATTTATTTTTTGATTAAACAAACAAGGAATAGAAAAGACTGGATAAATCAGTCAATCTCTATAGCTCCTAATTTGATCGATACTTTTATCACTTAATTTTGCAGTTTTATTTCAAGGCAACTGAAGGAAAATTAATTCAGCCTTATTCGTTACCCGTGACCACAGAGACTAGGGGAAGAGAATTTTCAGGTTGTACTTACCTCTCTGTAGTTCTTGACCCTGCTCTTGTTCACGAACTTGATAGCCACCTGCAAGATTTAAGATGGAAAATTAAAACCTATCATTTTGGTATCTCCATTGTGGTTTTCTCGTATTTTAAAATGTTTCCGCCACACAACAACAGTAGGCTCCACTTAGTTTAATGGGTATTGTCTTTATAATTAATCACAAGGGTGGTGGTCTAATTCACTCCCCTTCCCCCCCCCCCCCCCTTAGCTCTGCACCCCTGGTGGCTTACGATGCAATTTATTTTAGAGTTTATGGCAAGGTAAGCTGAATTTAGCATCACTAAAAACCACACGATAGAAGTTATAAATTAACGGTTTATTGATGCTTACCGGCAGGTTGTCCTTTTTTCGTCTGGCGGCGAAAACTTCTCCAAATCCGCCGGAGCCCAAAGGTTTTCCCATCTCATATGCTGCAAGACCTTTAGGGCGAGGTTTGCGCTTTCCTGAAAAATCATACAAAATTTAAGATCGGTTACATCCTCGGACTTCCTCTCTTCCAAGTTAAGATAGGAAACTGTTCTCCAACCTTTTTTTGGTCTCATTATTTCTCCACTTCCGCTTTTAATTTCTTACATGCAACCTCTCATTTATTAAAATACACCATATAGCCAAAACAAGCGATGAGAAATGAAGAAACTATCGCATTAACCCGTAAACATTTCCTCGCCTGAATCAACGACCATCTTCAATCAGACGACTATGAATTTTACGGTAACCGGTCGTTTCGCCAACTAGTCGTTTCGCCAACGGTAGTTTCGCAAACGTCTCTTGTCAGTTCGCAAACGTGTAGAAGTCAGTTCGCAAACTTTATAAACATTTACATGTCAACCTGGGTTTAACTATACGATTCATAATACTACACTGATGAAATGTTGTATGCATAAATTATTCGATGTGAAATCTCCCAGCTTATTTCCCGCTAAAGAATATTTCATAATCAAATGGACAGTTTTTATCCCGTGTCTCGGTAGTTGTGTACCTTCCTTCAAAGAGCAAAGCATCCTGATAGAACACAGCAAGAGCAAGACCTGTTTTATATCGGTAGATTGATTTTCGGATTACAGCTACTGTACATGCAACACGCAAACGTATCCATCTATGACGCTGTGATAGAGTGAAATCAGCCACAAGGCTGTATGTATGAATTAAGCTAGAGAGTTAGTTTGTATGCTCAAACGTTGACATCTCAAATCTACAAAGTGTGTGAACTGACTCCTACACATATAAATGTTTATAACGTTTGCAAAATGACTTCTAAACGTTTGCGAACTGACTAGAGACGTTTGCGAAACGACCGTTGGCGAAACGACCGACGTTCAATATTATTTACAATTTCCGTGTTCATACCTCTTCGTGTCTTTTTGTGTCGGATCGGCTCCGGCTTGCAACAACTCGTTGAAGTCTCAATCTCGGTAATATGCTTCTCTTTTGTCTCGGTTTCAACTTTAGCTTTCTCCTAGGAAGAGGAAATAATGAAATTATCAGAATTTTTAGTATACAAGTGGAGAAGAAAGTATCGTGACGTTTTATATGCTTGCTTTTGTATATACTTTGTTACAGTCACACCGCGTTCTGAACTCGCACTGAACTCGAAAAAAACTTACGACTGATTCTGGAGTCGACAAGCAAATCTTCTTTCTTTTCGCCGTAAAGAGCTTCTTGAAATCAGGCTCTGTCCAGGCTCTGTGGAGACAAACATCGTCATTAAGCTGAACTGCCTTTGGTTCAAAGCTAACAATTCTCAATTGATAAACAGATAAATTCTCTACCTTTTCCGGGGGTTTTCGGATTTACTTTTTCCGATCAAGCTCGACTGCAAAATTTAAAAGGAAAGTATATTTTACCAAAGGTGTACAGCTTTTAAAGCAGACTTACCCAAAACAAGTGGAGAAAAACAAACGAAAACCGAGGGAGAGTTCTAACCTTAGAGTCAGCGAAAATTCGTCTGGTCTTTGCCGGCTTACACGCGGCAGAACATTCTCCTTTTTGCTGGCCACACGATGATTGCGAGGGCTGGCAGGTGACAGAAAATTTTCTTTTTCTCCTTATTTCAGGATTCATGATACCTTAGAACTGAATTTTTTCCAAATAAAATCACTAAATGCTTTTACTTCTCCTCAAAGACTATAGCCTTGAAATCCTCATGGAGCAAAAACTGTTTATGATGTCATCTTACTTTGCATTATGATGTTTTCGCGCGCGTCATGCACGACCTTTAGAACGCGCGCTAACGGTCCTGAAGTTGACGCGAGGAATCTTATTGTCATTGTTATTTTTCCAAAGAACTTTGATATGGCATCACTAAATAAACTGAATATGAAACAGAGATACTTCCTTGAGATAATTCTAGGAACGATATCAAATGAGCTTGGTCTTCAAAAGAATGATTTTTTGAACAATTGTCACGTGCACAGGAAATAACGGGAAGCGTTGCGTGACATCCAAAAAAACGACTGCGAAGGAGACTAAGCTCAGCGAAAGGGTCACTAAACTTCAATAAAAGGGGCCATGTGCATACGTTATTAATATACTGGAAATGATAACTGTGTCACGATGGCACAGTTAATGCGTTAATGCGGTATGACTGCCGTATGTAAATAGCCCTGTAGGCTGCGGGCTCAAGCGTGAAATAATTTGCTTCGAATCAAGGGCTACCGATACAGGTGTAAGTCAAAGAGCTTAAAAATATAGCCTGACGTGAACGTTCCCATGCTGCCAAAAAGACAGAATGAAGACAATTGCGGAGTCGTGCAAAATTGCTTTGCTGGTCATAGCTTTATTTCAGGTGTTGACTGAAAGAAAATATTTCCGATCAATCTGAGACGTCCAAAACTCTCCCGACAACCGTACATCCTTTTCAATCTTGAGGGTTTCTCAAACCTTTTTCCAGTTCATGTTGAGATATGTGTAACGTTACGTGCAAAAAAAATCCAGTTTACTCGATTTCCTCGGCACATTGATATGGTCGAAGTTTCGGTTATGGATCAGTTACTGGCCGGCCCGACAATATTACAGGAGCCAACACTGGATATTTCCGTGAATTTTTCAAGTCCATAGAAAGAATTTTAAAAACAAAACGTATTTAAATATAGCCTCCGATCATGCTTTCTACCTTGCTCTGTAAGTATTTTGCGGTTGAATAGCATGATAAATATCTCTGATAGACAGATCTCTCATAAAAAAGGCAGAATCTGGAGTTATTTCTCGTTAAAGGTGAGAGTGCACCCCGATTGGCTGCATGATTGCATATCTAACTTCAGAGTATTTTGAACACGAGGCTGTTAAGGTGGCTCCCGAAGAAGAAGCAAAATTGCCTATATTTACGAGACTTTGTGCAGAAATCGTCGAAAGGAGAGCACACGCATGCAATTAAATAAATTGGAACAGTCTTCTGTTTTGATTGCTCGGTTTGTTAATATGAATTGTTATGGTGTAACACTGTGCGGCGTACTCGTATTGAATGCAACAGAGTGGTTGCAGATATATGAGGCGCTTTTTCCCCCTATCACCACGGAAAAGAAAATCCTGGTGCCTAGTTGTTCAAAGGGCAGAGAACGCTATCCAACAGATCAATCACTATGCAGCAGATAAGTGTCACCGAAACGTACCGCGCTGTCCACCGGATAGAGGTTTATCCAGTGGATAGGGTTATCCACTCTTCGAAAAACCGGAGCATGATCTTCAAATATGGCGTGTGCTTCTGTGGTGACGTAATTATCTCGCATCTATTTAGCTGTTATTGCGCATGTCTAGACACAATGTAGGTCTTAACCAACGAAAGGAACCATTAAACGTAAACAATTAAAATTGCAGGAACGTCTATCTGCCTCACATGGCAACTTGCAATATCCGGGGTTCGTGTAATAATTGGGTTGGCCATGTTGGTTAACAGCGCCGACCTGGTACACCTAAATCAATTCCTTCTCTTTAGGCACAGGACTAGAGTATGGTCAGTGGTTGAGTGGCCTGTTTGGAAACCATGACAGCTCACAAGCCTAATATCTTGCTTAAACTCACCCGCGAGGTGTTCGTTTCAGAAACAGCGCAAATGAAATAGTTGATCATTAAAAATTAACTAAAAATTTCCTCTTTCCTCGTATCACTGTTACTATAGGCGTTTTAAAAAAAGGGTTTTGATCATGAGAAGAAACACTCCCAGGTGAAGGTTCTACACATTTATTGCTCAGCCATTCACTGTCCCACAGATGAAGAGCTAATCTGGATACGTCTGCAAACATTGAAATTTCCATGCTCTTTTTTAATGCAAATAAATACCCTTTCTAACATTTTTCGCACTCAATTATGTACCCACCTCTCTCCAGTAAGCCTTTCATAAGCGTCCCCCGTCTAGAAGAACAGGAAATAACCAAACCCGGGGAGGAGGAGGCGCTTACTATAGCATTTACGTCAGAGTTGGGAATTCAGTGATAATCTTATGATAATTTCCTTCACTTTGACCAATTTTGTTCTTAGTTTTCAACGCTGTTGACATTCCGAGTCACGTTTTCAGTTGGCCCTACACGATAAGGAAACAAAATTAAGGCACTGAATTCCTACAAAGCATCACTTTTTTTATTTTATTTATACCAAAAATCCTACCACAAACACTTCAATTTGAAAAAAAAAGTTAACCAGTCAAAACATTGTGGTCGCAGAAATCTTTATTTTCTGTTGTAAAAACACTAAGCTAAGGCGTGCTAATAAATAATACTGTGCCTCGGAGGCAATAAATATCCTTTAACATTGCAATGCTATAGAAATGCAACCCGACTTGTGTACAGCTGAACGGGTTGACGGGAGATTCTTACTACGTAAACTCTAACTTTAGACTTAAACTTAAAAAAAATAGAATTACACGATTGCTGATAAATAACGTTCACTAGGTTTCTTTTGAAAAAGATCCTACCAATTGCATGATATTTCGTGCATGATATTTCGTGCATGAAATTTCCGCATTTCAACAATTCCAAATACTTCAGTTCAAATCTACATATAACAAATATTCTGTTTGGAAGGGCAACCTTTTTCCCTTACCAACCGTACGTTTTAACTTTCAGAATCAATGAAACTTAAAACTACTATTTGTAAACCGTACAATACGATGAAGACGAAACCAGTCTCTTTAAAAATTACAAATAATTATGAAAGTATTTACGAACAGCCACTGTGCGAAATAAGTAAAAAGAGAGGCTGATACTTGTAATAAAATAAATGTACAAGTATTTTCACAAGCAATACTCAAACTACTACAAAATGCATTGGTGTTTGAAAAAACATTCATTTGTAGAACAAACAGAAACTCCTATTACTTTGATTCTTGATTCATTTACCTGCAAAGGTTATTAAATGAAGGAGGAGACGTTCACATTGTATTTTATCAAATTGTGTTTTTGCACCAAAAAAGAATTTTGACAAATGTTTCTTGGGTCGAACTGCCTTAAATAAGTGTTCTACGATGAGGTTAAGCTACAAATGTGAAAGTTCAAAAAACTTTGTAAAGAATTATGAATAACTCATGAAAAATTTTTACTGAATACACTCATTTCGATAATAACGAGATCACATGACTCAAGGAGACTCAGGGAGTTAATAATTCACTACATGTGGTGTCCATTAATCGATTCAGTGACAGCGAACCAATAGGATTTCTTCACACACTCGTATCCAACCAATCGTAATCCTTCCTCGGCTGTGGTATGGAATCCTTGACTTTGCCTTTTGCCCGTTGTTTTGGATCGTTAGAAACTTGGGTCTGGGAAACATGAAACAAATTTAGGAAAATTGGTGAGCAACATACATGAAGGGCTAGGTAATAAAATCTTCAGGACAACTGCTTGATACCGGCAAGTTATGAATAAATCAGTTCAAATCGACAAATACAGCGCCTGAAATACGACAAAATGTACAAAGTACATCGCAATTTCACTCTGAGAAGACCAAAGGTAAACTTTCATTTAGTAACATTCATTTATCTTCCATACATTTATTTTTTATAACTTGAAGAAGAGCTGTCAACATACTAACCTGTTGGTGATCTTCATGTTTCCGCAGCCTCATGATCAGTGCTCTTTCCTCGTTAGTACCCACGCTCTGTGAGTACAGCTTCTGTGCAGCGAGCCTTTGTTTCGGGGTGAGCATGCGCTCTACGGCAAGTACAATACGAGCCCACTAAGAGAAAAAAATACCATTTTAGTTAATCATATAGAGTAAATCAGTGGAGCACTTTTCGACTGATTGTAGTTACACAAAACCAAAGCAATCATTACAGCCAATCATAGCAAGGGAAACATCACAGTAGCCAATGATAACTCGAAGTAAAAACAAGCACACTGCCTGAAGCGCGGGAAAACGCGGGTGACCAAGTCGCGATGGGTTTTAGTTTTGAATCTGATTGGTTGAGAAAGTGGTGCAAGTTTTCTGGACCAATCATAAAACGAAAGAAAGCAAATTTACAGCAATCCCAGATTATTTCTGACACTATATTGAAAATTTTTATAAAATGAAGTGAAGAAATTGATAAAATCTTGCGGCGGGAAAAGTTCATTTCATTTACCTGTCGTGTCCATTCCTTTTCAGTTTCTGCAACTTTAAGGTACGTGTTTCCCATCATAGCAATCAACATGTTCACAATCAACAAGGCTCCGAGGATCATAAACAGGAAAAACATGATCTGCAGGAAAAAAGGAACGGGTAAGCAACCAGTTTACGAGTTCAGAACAATAGCAACAGAAAACATTTCGAGGGAATGTCATAAAACCATAACTAATCGATACCGGCCAATCAGAACAATGGTTATAACAACAAGAAGCCAAGGAACTCACAACAAATTCATGTGACAGCCCTCGAGAAAGGGACAAGTGAACAAACTGGCTGCTAATGGTTTAAGTTTTGCATCTCAAGTATGAAGGGAGTTTTTTTAAAGTTCTCCAATGCAACAAAACTAATGAAAGCCTGGATCACTTTTTCCCTCTAACTGAATACCCCCAGATGCGAAAATGAATCCTCATGTCAATGGAAAAGGATGGAGGTTTCTTACCAAACCCAGAATTTTAAACGGCGAGTTACTGTGTGCCACTTGTTCATACAACTCCTGAAATTGAAAAATTGTGAGACTACATGTTATAAATGTAGGCGAATTATGAACGTTATGATGATACCACATTGCCCAATTAGATAAAGAAAAAGCGGAACACACAGGGCAAAGGAATCAATTTTTTACAAGCACGTGATCATTGATGAAAAATACTGAAAAATTGGTGAATTACTGGAAAAATGCCTAGCAAGAGATTGAAATAGAAAAATATCTTAAAGCAAATGTCACATTATTTACTGACAAGGACTTCATAGGAAGGAACACATTTTCTAAGATATTCTCCTCATGTTCTATATCTTGAAGTATACCATCACAGAAGAGCTTGAAAGACTTTCAGATGTACCTGTTCAGAGGAGCTCAACCTGTGGGTACAAATGATCTCACAGTTCTCACTTGAGTTTCGAAAAACCAAAGTAATCAAGACAGCCAATTGCAGCGAAGGTTGACATCATCACTAGCCAATTAGAACTCCCAGTAACAACAGGCAAACTGCATGAAACGCGGGAAAATGCGAGTGCCCAATCACGATTGGTATACCAGTAAGTTTTGAATCTGATTGGTTGAGAAGGTGGCGCGAGTTTTCTGGACCATTAACAGAGCGAAGTTAAGCAAGAACAAAGCAATCATAGATTACTTTCGACACTCAATTGAAAACAGCTCAATGAGAATTCATTCAGTACTGTCTTTCCTACACGTTTTACCGACCTGTTCCACTGATAACTTATGTGTACCCACGGTTCAGAGCATACCTCATATTCTCCTAATGAAAGAATTACGAGTCCAAGGCCGGCAGAAAACCAGCGTGTAAAGAGATTTTCCTGGATGGATTTGTCGTCATACCCAAGTGTCACCAAAAACATGGCTAAAGAAAACAAAATGTACACAATACCAAATCAACACCAAAACTTTCTCACAAACCAGCCTAAAAGAAAATTAAAAAAAAAACCAGGGAGATGAGGTTGCAGTTATCTAATCATTTTTCACAGCATTATACGGTTATTGTAGTTGTGTGTAGTTGTAATTTTCATTTACTTGCTTTTGCAATCAGTCAGATTTGAGACAAAACATACAAAACAATGTCATACATTGTCAAAATCTATTTACTAGAAATATTTTAATTTTAATTTATTAACTAACAAAATACTAGTATTCCATAATGTCAGGCTTCTAAGTGTTAAAAAATGGTTAACATAAAGAATACCTAAAAATTCAGAGATCCTGCTTGTATAACTTTATGAGGGAGACTATTCGAGAGCAAAACACTGCTATGGCAGAAACCTTTACCAACAAGATAATAACCTCGTTAAAATAGAAAAGCTAGCAAATTTGCAGAATCACAGAAAGTACAATGCGACTGAGGCTGAAAATTGAATTGAATAATGACATAACTAACAAATCTTCCTCACCTTGAGAAAATCCAATTACAAAAATCATATAAATAATGAAGAAAATGATGAAATCTCTCCTTAACATCTGATAGATCATAACCACAAAAGGCCCTACAAGAGCAAACCCCCTGAAACACAAAATTAAAGTATGTCACTATCACCATACAGTATAACTTACATCATCAAATGGAAAGTGATTCTGATCAAGAATGGATTCTACTTTTAAATGAGAGAAAAGACAGAGACGTAACTGTCAAAATGTAGCAATAGCAGGCTTTAAACCACAGCACTGACAACATCTGATGGGAGTAATTGTACATTGAGCATATTTTTTTTAGTTTTCAAGTTCCTCATTAAAATTGAGTAACCAGTGAACATGAGTGGGTGGAAAAGCACTGCATTGAACAGCTGCAAGAAGAGGGACAATATTTGAGAATTGGGATGTTGATTTTGACTTTTCATGCACTCAGCAAGTAAATATAATGCTTTAAGGGACAAAACAAAGTGAATTTATTGTCACACCTGCAGAATGTGAGAGAGTAAGGCCAGGCCAGAACAAGAGCTGCAATTACCAGGTGATCTTCAAGATTAGGTTCACAAGTGAAGCGTGCTGCTAAGCAGGTTAGTAATAACACACAAGATAACACCAGCAGGAGTCGCAGAGGATTGTGAACCTGAACAAAGTATACCATGAAATAAAACAGGGTTGATGAAACAAAAGAAACACCACAAAAATTAAATTCAATGTTATCACTTTGATCACTTCTCAATTTCCCCTCCCCCTGAGGAGCCATGAGTTCAACTTTTCAACTGCAATGGACAATGCAGTGTAAATACTTAGTGAGGAACATACCATACCAGGTTATTGTTAACAGTAACATTGACTGTACTTTCTTGTACTAATTGAAAAGAAGTGAAAAGTGAAAATCATTAACCTTTCCTAACTGCTAAATAATGCGACTCTTACCAAGTCAAAGAAAACAGGCTTGAGTCCCTCCTGAAAAATCACCTCTCGAATGAGGATAAGGATGTAGATGAAAGCAAACAGCAATGTCAGGATTTCAAAAGCAGCTCGAACCTGTAGAAAATAAGTTCAGTTTAAAGAGGTTCTGACATTACTGAGATTTTGCATATAAGATCCTTTGTTTAGAGATCACAGTTATAGGAAAAAAGAAGCAACACTATGCCATTGCCAGAAAAATTGGGGTGGGGTTGAAGTTAAGAAAAAATGTTACAAAAAAAATCCTGCTGAATAAAAGCAAATGAGATGCCTTTTTAAAGCTTTTTCATTTGGCCTTTCAAGGGCAATTTGTCATTAAATGGCAGCTATTTTTTTCAGGCTTCAAGGCAGGTACGAGACGTCTCAGTTTGAAAAACAAATACATTGTTATTTCCAAAATAATCAACTTAAGCAATTATGTGAACCATGACAACAGAGAAATTGTGCAAATACTACATGGTTCTATTCTCAAGAACGATTAAAAAGAGTTATTCATACTGACTTAATATCATGATAATGCTAGAGTGAAGAGAATCCATGCAATTAATGACCAAGTATACAGAAACCACAAACCTGTTGAGTGCTGTCATTCTTAATTGTGTTGAGGAGAAAACAGGAATCACAACTTGTGGTATTTGATGTAATGGAGGAGTTGATGGATGTAGGGCTGCTGTTTTTAACATTGTCATCACAATGCAAGTCCTACAAGGTACCACAAAAATCATCATTTGCTATTTTTAAATTCACTCATCACAAGAGGACACATGTTATGTACATGTAGATACTACATGAGGTTTAAAGTAGTTTTACATTGAGTTTTCAAATTAGGCATTAATTGCTCTGGTTTGGTTTCCCTGTAGTTAATTCTTATAAGCATGTAGTTGGTACAAAATGTCATTGATACAAAATGCCCTTTCTACTTATGCAGAGGCAGATCTAGGGGAAGGGTGTAGGGAGTGTGCACCACATTCTGAGATGACCTGCAATTTCTAAAACAACTTCATAGTCATACAAAATCTGCTGTATGTTTGATACATGTAAGTATTCCCAGCAGTTCACATAATGTTATTGCCTAGTCATAAGCCGTCTTCTCCATTACCGGTATTTGCTTTAAAGTTTGCTTAAGTCACCCATCAGTTACATCCTTCCTTATTGATGCACCCCCTCCTGAGAAAAATTCCTGGATCCAGCCCCGTTACAGTGTATAATTTCTGTCAGTAGTTTGAAGCAAAAATTTAAAATGAAACATCAATTGCAAAGTTAAAAAAGGCAATGTAACAAAGTTGGTTGGAACTTACACCAAGAGGGCGGAGGAGAACAGCAACACTTAATGTGATGAGAAAGAAGATGTACAGAGCCAGAAGCTGATAAAATCTGAGAAGAAAGATAACAAAATAATAATTAATAAAAACAATTGTGAAATAACATTTTATGGTAATTAATAATAATAAATGAGATATTACAACAAGTTAACAACTTTTTACCTGATGTGATAGTTATGGGTAGTACATAGCGAGTTCAACAGATTTCATGACTTGATGGAGATGCATTAAAGGGAAGAGAATATAACTTTGACAGCTTTTAACCTTTAACTCCCATGAGTGACCAAGACAGAATTTCTCCTTACAATATTAATACAATTTCAACCAGATAAGTGATGAGAATAAAGAAAAATATAAATTTGGGGATAATTAGTCCATCCAACACTAAATTCTCTGAACCAACATTGTAAGAATTGTATGGTTGACAGTAAGGAGAATTACAAATCTGATCTGGGAGTTAGAGGGTTAAAGGAGGTGTAGTTTGATCCATTTAGTAACTAATGTAAAGAAAGTGAGTTTACCGATATATGCAATGCAAGTCACCAGTAAATGCTTCTTTGTTTTTTTATTAATTTAATTCTGTTTTTCAACCAGCATTAGCTATGAGTGGGATCATCTCTGTGAATGAAAACCAAATACCCACATTTGTTGTACCATAAATTTGGTATTGGCAAGGATATATACATGAGCGGTCCCAAATAATAATTTTTTTGGAGTACCCTTAGGTACTATACATTTATGTATCATAATGTTTGATACAGTGTGGTACGCGCATGATTATTAACACTGGCAATGGAATATGCCTTAGTTTTACACACCTATAACGACAGGCATGCTTCCATTTCTCTTTGAGCAAATTGTGCAGGATTCCATCAAATAGGACCAAGTGTGATACTGATTCCTGCCATAAAATATCAAAAGCAGACTGAAATACATCACTAAAAGAGGTTTATCTAACTATAATTATTACTAAAGAGAGTTATCTATCTATAACTATTATTAAAGAGGGTTGTAATTATAACTATAATTATAACTAAGTGTGAATCTACTACCGTTCAATCAAAAATGCTGCAATCTGATTAGCTAAGCCACTCACACTCCAGTCCATGGTAGACAGTGAATAGCCAGACAGTATGTGGTAGTAAACAAAAATGAAACACAAAAATACGAGCCTGATAAGTGTTTTGGGTTTTTTCCTTATCAACTACCATGTAACAGGGATCTTGAGCTCACAAATGAATCTAATTGTAAGTTAAATACTAAATCTTCATCAAGGCCATGATCTAATATTGCGATAATGTTGCAATACATTAAACCAGTGATTTCCAACACTCCAAGCACTTTGCTTTTTATACTGTTCAGTTCTCATTGACTTCTTCTTAATATGAAACTTTTATACTAGCATGAATCTACTACACTCAATCAAAATGCATGCTAATCCTTTAATATTCATCCTTTCATATATATCAACACCCCCCTCCCCCTTCCCCTCCACAGGAATTTGAACAAACCAATTTTATAAAGTTCAAATGCCAAGGGGGTTGCTGGGGGGAATGTTGAAGCTATGCATTGATTAGTGCATTAAATCAATGAACAAAGTGTATTTGCTGAAACCTGTATTGTGCAAATGCCTACAAGACCATTGTTGGCATCCCCTATAAACAGAACATCTGATGAATGCAGTTTAAGTTCATTGTTACTGGTAACCTTGATACGGGACCCTAGGTGTCAAACATGAAACATTTCAAATCTGATGTTTTGGTAGCCTTATTATCAGAGAAATTTAAAATTATCAGCCTGGAACAAAACTTTGAATATCACACCATGTAATCTTAACCACAATCAAACTCAGGAAAAAATAATCAAGCTCTGATCCTTCTAAAGGCTGCCGCCACACAATTTTAAAGAGAACTGTCCATTGAATACAGGTTGCACTATGTACCATGAGTGATAAAATAATCATCCTCTTCTAAGTTTTATTCAGTCACACATAAGTCTACTCATTCATACCTCATGTGTAATAAGGTTTAATGCACATTTCTCATTTATCTGGCCTTCTGTTGTCAGCTAAAAAATTGGCAAGAGTACATAAAATTACAACAAACATTATTGAATCAATGTTACACATCTACCGTGACTCCTAACACAACATTAAACCTAAATTGTTATCAGTTGACTATCATTGGGTTCAGGGAGGGGATTGGTGCATAATTGCTCAGATACTGACATTGATCAGCATTATTTGACCAATGTAACAGTTATCAATTTTGACAATTGAGATATACAGGTTTACCAGAGTTTAAACTGAAACCTTCATGGGATTGAAAAAGATTCAAGTTAGGAAATGAAAACGGTACAGGTTAGGGAGGGTCAAGTAATTGCAGGAATGTAAGAGGAGATATGAGGTAAGGGGGCCATCACATAAATATTGAAAAAAAGAAAGGAGGTCGCTTGTTATTCACATGGCCTGAAAGGGGAGGGGGGGGGCATACAGAAATTTTAATCTTTCCAACATATTTTCCCTCCCTCCCCCTGTACATAAATAATGACCTGTCCCCTGGTTAATAATCATAGTAAGAGTCTTGGTTTTTCTTCTTAACATTCTAATTTTCAACAGGAAAATTTTAAGGGGGCTAATTAAACTACAGGTCTTTGAGTTAGCCTTTCAGGAAGGGCCATAAATATGGAAATGAAAATTATGGTTGATATGGAAAACCTACAAAATGTAAGGTAATGCAGAGGACTCTTTACTCTAAGACGTAATGATCATTATAAGACATTATGAAAAAAAATCTCACTGTATCAAGATCTTTCAGAGAGAATGCAGCACATGTCACTTCACCATATTTCCAAAACACGTCTCTCTCTCGTGTCAAAATGTGATGAAACATCTACCAAGGATATCAAACAAGAACAAATTAAATATTTTATTCCACATACATTTATGTAGATGCATTATTAATAATTACCAGTAATAATAAACTCAGACAAACTCATGACTATACATTTACAACTTCATGCAATGTACTTATTGTGCATATCCTCAAAATAACAAATTTACCTCTTTGCGAGCCAGTTTAGCAGCGAGGGTCAGAGGTGTCAAGCCCATGTTGTTCATAACAGTGTTAAGTGGTTTTCCACACTGACAAGCACAGTGGCATCCATAATCAAAAATTAGGTCATACATGTCCTGCAAATGTTCAACAGCATTCAAATAAGAACTCTTTTGTACTCAAGAAGTTGGCTTGGTTCTTAAAGGTCTGGTTTTGTTCCAGATTTACAGTGAAACAATTTTACAAAATCTGAAAACTAAAAATAATTATTGGAAATTCTTCAGCAATGCATTAAGTCATATAGAAGAATGCAATACAAACTTAAAGGTTGTTTCAATTCTCCAGAAGCTGTTGATTAATCAAAAATAAACACTTGAGCGAAGAGTGTTCTTCTCTATTGCAATTGAAACTTTCCTCAATCATGTGTAGGCTTTATTACCAATATGTATAGCGCTCTCTCTAATTGACATTAATAAATTATAATTATCAAGTAAAATAGGCGTTGTTGGCAAAAAAATCAGAATGAATGTACTTGCAACACAAAAATGCTCCATAAACTGCAATATTAGGTCTCCTTTTCAGCCATTTCTAGCATGATATGAATTTTCAGGGGTTTCAATAAAATTTTCCATAAGCAGCTGCTAATGGAGTAATGTGTAGTAGAGCAAAACCCAAACACAAGTTAGAACTTGCTGGCAAGTTTAACAGACAGTATCAAGAAGTCTTATAAATGGTCCTAGAATACAGTTAACAGCTCTTATTGACACCCAGAAAGGTCTTTCTCCTTAGGTTGAAATCAGTGATATTGCACATTTTTCCCTGCTCATAACAATCAGTACTCTGTATATAATTAGTAACAAAGCTGAGATCATAATTATCATTTCCTCTTCTGCTGGTAACACAAATCTTGGTTTTGTTAAGTTTAGAACCAACACCATATCCAATTCAGCAATTCAGTCAAATGTTGCAAATTGACCATTTTTGTAAAAAGACTTAATCCCTTGGCTTCTCTTGTTGTACTGCTACCCTATTACTAATCAGGTAAATGTGAACAAGGGATTATTTACATACCATTCTATTATGAATAACCATCATATGAAGAACAGTATTGCCATTTGTGTCCTGTTTATTGGGACACGCCCCTTTGACTATGAAATATCGCACCATATCCTCTAAACCAAGACATGCAGCAAAAGACAATGGATATTCTCCAAAATAAGTGTTGCTGTAAGAAACAAAGGACATTTTACAACTTACAAAATTTAAGTGTAAACCAAGAACATGTTTTGTAACATCATACCAATTCTCTGTTAATTTACAATGAAGCAAAGTGCACTTGTAATTGGTTTCTTTCTTAAAAAATCATACATGTGCTGTATACTGTTTTAGGGATTCACACAAGTATAGGAAACAATATGATTGCCAGTACAATTTGGTGTTTATAAGCACAAGTAAATTTTTCAAACATAACAAAATTACATGTCTTGAGCTCATAGGGCAAGTACAATTTGTAGTCTCTGAAAAACTTACAAGTTTTTATTTACATCAATTAATTGTGCAAGAAATAATGATGTTAGTTGTTAATAATTTCCATGATAAACGAATTAGAGAAAGTCGCGACACAAGCAATTTTGGCACAACTCACTGTTTGTTATTCACACTTGTGTTGCAGCTTTGTACTTGTGTTACAATTTTGCCCTTGTGTTACATGAAAAATTCACCCATTTTCAGCCAATCAGACATGTATAATTTTTCCTGTATATGATCATCAAACTAATTCTCATTTACTACCAATAATCATAATTATTTTAATTATCATTAAGATTAATATTTCAATTGCTTTATGTTCATCTTCCATTTTTTTTTAGATTGCTGTAATACAACTGAGGGGGAAAGATAATTTTAAGAGTTATTAATAACTAAAACTTTAAGACAAACACAGTTACACTTAATAAAAAAATAATAATCTACAGAAAAACTCTGCTTTCTTATGTACCTTTCATAATTTGTCTCATCAGTAAGAACAATAGTCTCCTGCCCTGCACGATCTTTTCTTGATTTTCGTTGATCTTCAGGACAAAAGAAAGCTCCGTAGGCACGTTCATGTATGTCTGCACCATTCTTGCACAGAATGTGAACCATATGTTGATTTTCATTGACAATTGCCATGTGCAGGGCACTTTCACCTACAAGCACAAATCCTTAAGCTATAACACGTGTGTATAATCACATGTATATGAGCTTCAAGCTGTTTAGGTTTTAACAACATCATGCCATGCACCTGCACCAAAATATCAGGCCTCACCAATCTTATCAGGGGTGCTTATTGCAAGGCGGGTGTTTAATCTAGGGAGGGGGGAGGGGCCTCATTAAGTCAGTGTGCCAATAGAACAAAAATTAATAGAACCAATAACACACATAAAGGAACTCTGCAAGCACATGGATATAGAATAACTAGGAGTGACTTTACAGAACAGAAACTATTCTCCTCTGCTGATTTTGCTGTAGTTGAAACTTAAAAATAATAATAGTTAAAGCTGGTAACAGAAACAGGTTTTCCCTGTATCCCTACTATTAAAGAAAGTGTGGATAGCAGGGAGCATTTATTTGAGAGAAGCACTTGATTAACATTATGGTCTAAAGGAGTGGGAGCTAAATTGAGACAGAGAGAGGGTGTTTATTAGAGCGTGCACACTTATTCAAGGAAATAAGGTAAACATCAGTAAAAGTGCTTCAATTCAAAATCCTAGTGACAGCTTATTTAAGAATAATACTTAATTACACGTTTTGAGTGGTAGAAAAACTATGAAATGATATTCATCTCACCATAAAACTCATCACTGATATAAATATCATTGACAAGAGAAGGGAATTTCTTTATGATTAACTTGGCTATATCATAGTGCACTTGAGTTGCATTCAGAAAACACAAGTGAAGGACATTTTCTCCCACAGCAGCACGTTGGTTGATATCCCAGCAAACAGATCTTGTCGTACTCTCTGTAACAAACAAAAAAACGTGTGCTATTAGATCCTAGAATATAATAAACAAAAGTAGCTGCTTTAGGTGTGTGCAGTTCGATTTGTTGATGAAAATTCACTTGAATTCAAAGAATTGTTTGAGTTGAAACTGAGTCCTAGCTAGCTTATTGCTCCTGACACATTATAATGCTTGCAAGAAAGGTTTCCAACCTCTCTCAGTCTCTAGGTTTTAATCTTAACCCTTTCACTCCCACAAGTGACCAAGACAGAATTTCTCCTTACAATATCAAGCAGGCAGGTGATGAGAATAGAGAAGAATATCAATCATGGGATTATTAGTTGATCCAATACCAAATTCTCTGAACTAACATCATAAGAATTGTATGGCAGATAGTAAGGAGAATTACTAATCATATCTTGGGAGTGAAAGGTTTAATGTATTTTACTGTTTGCTTTGAGCCTAACTTCTCCTTAAAATATCACCATAAATCACAATAGGGTCACAAAAATAAAGGAAATGATCACCAACTAAAGAAACTCTAGATTCTTGTCAGCATCTTTGGAAAAGTATGGAGAACAATATGGAGAATATACATACTGATGTGAGGGTGCAAAGTGTTCGGCGCTGTCATTTACAGGAAGAACATTATTAACAAGACTTCAAGTTAGTAGCATGCTAGCAAGCAAAATGAAAATTCTGGTCACCAATAGATGAAATGGCGATCAGCATGTTTAAATTTCATCTGCATCTGCTTCTGAATCTCTGAATCAACATGACTTTTGACCTATTTCATACAATATGTTCAATTATGACCTCATTCAGGCATCAGGTACAAGGTCCCAAGCTAATACAAAGTAATGAGGCGCAACGTGAGATCATGAATACTTTAAACATTTGTTTCTATCAGCGTAACGCTTCATATGAGAAAAACATAAGGTCTGTATTACTCAAAAATACTTTTATATGGACAAACTGATGTCCGTATAGTTTAAAAACAATTTCTGCAGAACTGTACCTTAGAGACAATAAAACATGATTAATAAATGAAATAATGCATGAACCGTACGTACCAATGTTCTCAGTTTTCATTGCATAATGATCTGTTCCAACGGCTTCGATCGTATCCTCCACTCGACTTGAACATTTAGTAAAGCAAGCCTTCAAAGAGCTTTCTCTCTTAGATGGTTTTTGAACCTTGCGACTCTTTAGTCTCCATTGAACAAGTTCTTCTATATCGACGTCCTTTCCAGCCCCATTGTTGTACAAAAACTTGTCACGAAATCCCTCGATGAGTTCTTCTACCTCAGTGAAGTCCTTCCTTGCCTGAGCTCTCCTGAATGCTTCAACAAGACACCCACCGCCGTTTAGGTCGACATACTTGTACAACTCATTAGAACTCTTCTGAGTTTGGTTTATAACGCCTTGTCCAGCCCCTTTAGCATCTTGATCTGTAGACATGTCTCCCATGATAGACGTTTCTTAAACTCACATATTGAAATACGGACAAGAATTCAGAAGATGTTCAATGACCAATATGATAATAATAACGTTGTCATGTACTTGTTGCCAAGAAGACACCAAAATCCTGCTACCAAACTTGAGGCAGACAGAAGAAATGCGAAAAAATTCAGAGCAAACAAGCAATTACCATGACCCCTGAGGTGAAGTCTTGCAGTATGTTTTTAGCGATTAAAAACAAGGAAAACAGAAACGAAAAACACAAAACAATGATCAATACTTCAGCGGACGTAAAGTGTAAGGAAAGGCTGAGAAAGCCTGGTAATAAAGCAGTTTCCGTATTTTCTGGGCCCTTCGTATAAGATTCGTGGTGCGTCGTCGTGTTGTGTCGTCGTGTTTCGGTTTCAGATTGTTCTGCGACTGCGCAGTAGGTGTGAGCAGTTTAAAAAAAATTCTTACAACACATTTTTTTCGTTTTCGCTTGGGAATACATCACTAGTCAATGTTTTCGTTACTTTTTATCAATTATGGGAAGGAAATGTAAGTTTTGACCTGTGCCTAATATAAACTGGAGAATCAAATTTTTTTTAGTACTGTAAAAAAAATATAGTGTGTTTGTTGAATTGACCGCTGATCGTTACAGGAACTAACATTAATAACATCCGTCAAATCTGGTACAACTTTGGTCCGATTTATGATATTCATTCTCTTAATGTGCATTCTTTGCATCTGTGGGGCTTCCTCGGCCACCCTTTAATGGCAAGCTGTGAACATCAGTCCAATTCCAATTTTTTTTGAAACGCATTTCATCCGTACGTTTATATTAAGAAAGAAGTCAAAACAAGAGCACATCACGCCGTGCAGTTGCGTCGATTGAAAAAGGTACGACACGCCAAAAAAATACGCTTCAGGACTTCACGCACTTTTCAATAAATCATTTTTTTTTTGAGGTGTTTGCACTTGGAAAGTTTCAATCGGGACCTTCATCGAAACTTAAGACAATTGTTTCTGAGTTTTGATTTTAATATCAAAGCTGCTCTTTGATTTAGTGATTTTGAGATCACGCAAACAGTTTGTCTACTTCACACTGCGGTTTTCGGAAACTCAAAACATAACAATACAATGAAGATCTTTTAGATGTTTAGTCACAGCATCATTAGCTACAACTTCTGGTTTGCGCACTCTTATTATAAAATTTATGCACTATAAAGATTCAGTTTCATTTCCAAAATTACCTCAACAGTAAATTAGTTTCCAGTCAAGAGACAACCAACAACCCTGACATCAAACAATCACGAAATTGGAATTCGTTGACTCGACCGTTATCTATCTATAATAACCAAGAGTCGCTGACATTAGTTTGGCTTTCGTTTATCTAAATTTCAATGAATTCAATTAGTTTACTCTCTTTGTTTTTTCCTTTAAAATATTCTCAGCCGGATATATCAGATATAATGATGTTTTTATCGCACGAGACCGCCAAAAAGCAGCTCGTGTTGGGGCCATTAGTGACCTAAAGGCTTGTGAATCTTGCTTGTGATTGGTAGAAATTTACAAAAAACCCTCCAGAAGTCATTATACACTGGGCTTTTGTCAGAGTGCTCAACAATAAACATTTTACTTGAAGTATTTTTCCGCAACGGACTTATTATGAAAGGATTGTTTGTCGATTTGCATATCAAACACTTTCGTAGTTTGTCTCGGCAAAATCTACTATGGCCATGGCATTCAATTCAAAATTAATCTGCAGCTGTTCCTCATATTTCTGCATAGTTCTATCTTCTTCAGTGTTTCCAGAACAGTCTGGCTGCATTAACGCTTCTGAATCGTCGCATTCTCTGTAATGAAAAACCCGCGCAACACCCCAGTCAACTTGATCAACGATAAAATTATCGTCAATTGGTTTGCTAATGTGATGTATCCCCACCTCAAAAATTCTACGCGGATCGACAATACATTTAGTCCAAAATGGCGTAGCCTCTTTCGTGCGACGAAAAACTCGTTGGGTTATTAAACGCGACATTTGCAGATCTTCCCAAGAGGGATCAAATATCGCGCTCTGAAAACAGTGCCCGCAATGTTCCTTGCGGTGAATTTCCTTTAGTAAAACGCTTATGTTGTCATGATAAAGCGGTACAATAAACTCGTCTAGGTCATTAAAAGCCACGTAGTCAAGATGAGTCATAGACCGGAATAAGCAGTCCATAATCGACAAAGTTTGCCCATAATAATGAATATCATTCTCGCTAATGTACGAAGGTAAATTCCAAAGAAGAACGCGCGCTAATCCCTTTTCTTCATAATAATCCAAAACGTTTTGTACGTCGTCAGACATGTCCAAGTTATAAAAAGTAAAATGTGAAGCTCCTAAAATTTGTGAGAGTTCCAAAAACTCTATCAACCTGTCCACCGATATCTCACCATGAAGAGGAGGTATACAAATACCGTATTGCCTGTGGCCAACCTCGATTTTTCGGTCGATAAAATTTATGGGCAAAACAAGTGAGCTGCTTTCATTTTGTGTTTTAGAAGTTGACTTTTCATTCGTAGAGACAATTATAGAACATGGTATATGGTCCAATTCGGGTGGAACAGCACAAGAAGCTATGAAGCATCCAAACGGCATGTAATGGTTTTCGTTGTGTTGATAATAAGAGACAGTACTGGTGAAAGATCGTTTCAATTCGCTGTCAAAACGACAGAAAAGTATTGGAAGAGGCTCTGTTGTTGAAGTCAATAACAAAATCCGCACATACTCCTGAGATTTTCTCTTATCAAACCAAGCTGAATAAGCAATTATTCCCCTTTTAACCTCGCGAAATCTTGATTCTTCTTCCGTCTTTCGGCATGGAAAATTCTTTCCATGACTTCTTCTCTCTTTGCCGATATCACTAAATTCACCAAAGTCCACTTGTGGGCCGTAGACTCCGTCCTTTTGCGTTTTTGATGTTTCTTTATCAACATGACAGAAAAATTTCGCCATATTACAAGGCTCTCGGTTGGGAATCACTGGGACTACACAAAGATTGAAATACAGATGAAATAAAAACACCCCGGCAGAAAATAATACGAACAGATGAAGAAGATTCCTTCTTCGGCAAAGAAACTTTGCGCGAGTGCTCCTCGACATCGGGGCCAGACAGTTATAACGCAATTTGTGGCGAACAAACCAATGTTTACTATCTTATGTAGAATGGAATATAGTCTATGCACTACAAGATACCAGCCCCATCTAACAATTAACATCTCAGGGAAGTAATCAAATGTTCCTGTCGTAAGTTTTTTGAATTCAGCTAGATGGTACAGCGTTTGTAAGGTTACCAAAGGAAGATCTGGAATTATAGCGATTTTTGGTCAGACTTTCATGCAAGCCTCGAATTATAATCTGCTTTTTCACGTCAGCACATACTGTCACAGGATGTCAAAACTCAAATAGACCACAGGCACCTGTCAGCTACAGAGGGTAACTTAAAAACTGCACTCTGTGCCAAATATACATGTTAATCATAAAAACTACAATTTACTCGATTGTGATTGGTTTAAAAAACTCCTTTTTTCCCACAAATTCACTCGCCAAGTTGTTACCAGACAGTTTGTTATTGGACAGTTTATCATCGGACAATCCAAGCACATTAGGCCTCCTTTGTCAGTCTTTTAATGCAAATTTCCCCTTTCTTTCATGACTGGGCTATTCTTCTTTTCTCGGTAATAGTAATTTTTATAATTAATTGGTAATAAGACTTCGTGTCGTCTAATTTGGTCTGTGCATACTCGCGATAAACAAATCGGACTCCCGCTGCACGGTCGTCCGATTTTGTTATCACTCGTATGATTACAGACCGAATTAGACTCCACTTGGGCCTATTTCCATTAATTATTACATGACGAATTTGTCCTGAGGTTAACCCGAGCGTTCTGATTTGGTTCTTACTTGGTCCGTATTTCGCCATACGGACCGTTTCCACGGAAAATGTCAAAAGCCGTGTATATTTATTTGCGAAAGCCAAAAAAATTTAAAATAAAAAAATTTGGTCCCGAGTGCTATATAATAAATGAATTACTACCCTTGCTTGCTCGAGCAGTACTGAGGAGTAATGGCTCTCGGTCGTTTTTGTACAGACCAGCTACGACCTAGGCCAAATATTTTCCAGCACCGCCCTGAAGCGCGGTTATTAATAAGTTTTATTATATGGCAAGGCAGTACTGTGGTAAATCTGAACGTTCTCATTGCATGGTTCTCACTTGGTCCGTATTTTGTCACTCGCAACCGGCGTTTCTACAAAACCAGTCATAAACCGTGTATTTTCGTTTACTACAGCCAGTACTTGCAAAATAAACAATTTTGGTCCTAGTGCCACATAATAAACTATTTCAAAACTGACCTCGCTTGCTCGAGCCGTACTGGAGATAACCGGCCCTCGGTTAGTTTTTGCACAGACCGTGCTGCGATTTGTCCGTGCTGCCAAGAATTCGCGCCAATCCTCACTTCGTCTTGCACTCGGTAAGTAAGAAGTTAATCATTCAAATTCTAATACTGAGGACTTTATTTACAGCATTAAATGTCTAGCATCCATGCGAGTAGGAATTCAGAATCAAATTGTATTTATAAGATATCTGGTTGCTGGAACAGTTTCAGTTCCACATCACAGCTTTTATCAACAGTCGCTAACAAAATTTTCTACACTAATTTCTTCCAAGACTATAACACGTGTTAAAAGATTCCAATGTGATCGAGTATTCAATATTGAAAACTCAATTTCGGAATTGATGCCAACTGCGGTTCATGACAGAGTAACGAGGCAACTAAGACAAGGAAAATTTATTTCATACCAAAAATCTGCTCCTGTACAGACATGTTTCAAAAGTAAAGTGCATGGGCGCGAAATTGAGACGGCCGTGTCAATTACTTATGAAGTGCTCTCCTCCCAAAAACGCCAATCAAATAGGACAACGAAAACTGCCGTGTATGTTTAGAACAACCTGCGTCAAAGGACTGTTTTCGTATACAAGCAGTAGGTATCTTCTTTTTCCTGATCAAACTGCGAAGCAAAAGCAAATTACGTTGTGAAGCTGTATCGATGCAAATCATAGAAGTTTACATTAATTAATGACTCACTAAGAGTTTGCACAGTGTATCGCTACAGAAGACTAATTTAAAAAATTGTCTTAAAAAATTCTAAGTTCGATTAAATGCCAGGACTAGCTCTAACTTACACTCAAATATGATTCAATATTTATTTTCTTTTTATAAAAAATATTTCATGAATTCTGACAACTTCTACTTTCAAACATGTAGTGTATCTCTCTGGGGACGTTCCCTGTTTGCCCGTTTTGCGCGAAACTCCTCCTAAATTGGTACCTTGAGGACCTCGAAAGTATTCATATATAGAATTGCTAACAGAAGTTCATCGAGAGGAACCTCTGGCCTCTTTTTAAAGGAAAATTTAGTTTTGGTGGAATTGTCTCATCCTATGAACCAATGAAACAAAATCTTAATAACTTAATAACATTTTCTTGACTTCTCTGTTTACGTAAATCGCGTCTTTATATCAGAATGGATCACAATATCAAAATACTTCATTCAAACAAAGTAAAATTAGAACGAATTAGCTCACAGGCTGCTACAAAATCTTCCTTCCCTTTAGTGACGAAGCTACACAAAAGGCAAACAAAGAAAAAGAAAAAGATTTTCAAAATTGTTCAACCCTTAATCCCACAAGAATGACTGTAATCTAATTTATTTTTACAGCATTGCCACTGAATCAAACATTAAGCTCATATGAAGAAAGGAAATGATCGCCAGCTTAAGAAGTTCTTGATCGTTAAAAATATTCTCCTTGTCATTAACAAAGAAAACGCACAGCAAACAATGTGGAGAATATGCATACTGATGTCACGGTTCAAACGTCCTCTAATAATCGCGATCGCAATCGTGATACCGCTACAGGAATTGGGGGTTTTTTAAGAGTACATTTACTTACATAGCTTACACCCTACTTGAAGAAATCTTCTGTTATTTTATGAATTCTCCTTCTTTTCATACCCCAACTTTCGTTTCCTTCTTTTTTTTTTTGGCACGGCAAGCTAAGACCTTTCACGAGCTTCAAAGCATCTGAAATTATTTTCGTAAGTATCGATACACGTTTGCGTCAAAATCTGTCTTTTGCTTTTGACACAAATCCTCCATCGTACTTAAAATCATCCAAGCTAAAGGGAAAACCCAAGCGAATATTAAATCGAACCCTAACAATGAGGTATTACAAAAAACCAGACGAGGTTTTTTTCTCTTCACTATTCCTTTTCATCCATGACGAGATATTAATCTAATTCTAAATATTTTCTCTAAGAGCGTACAGCTTCATTTAAATATAAGGTTCTCTGTTCCAACATGAACAAATGAACAGATGGTAAGAAAGCCCCTCTGTTTACGATGAGATTTTCAGCCCTCACAACCTGAATCATTCAAGCCGCTCCATTTTCACACACGCCCTTACTATTTTGTTCCGCATTTTCTGAAACAAAAAGAGAGAATGATTTTTTAAACATAGAAAGAAATGGTCGAGTGTTACGAGTCGTTCCTTTCGGTTTAGTATGTTACATACGGTTAATTTTGCCTCTAACAATTTTTCTACTAAGACTGTAAGTTTCTTCAAAGTGAAAGTCATTCGACCATTTTGCATCTTAAAACAAGACAAAACAAAATAATCGTGGCACATTGTAGAGACAAATTACACCGTTGACCGGTGACTGGGAGAACATTTTAAACTACAAAAGGAGCACATTTTCTATCAATTTTTCACCTTTCTCGGCAGCAGCTTTTTGTCTCTGTAGAATCTTTTTCAGCTCTGCCGTAGCCTCGTCCTTTGGTCTATCGTCAAGAATGTCCCCTGCAGAATGGCTTCGTGGTTTCCTCAATACCACCTTTTTTAGTTCATTGTTGCCATTTCCGGCGTCTCCTGAGTTGGATGTCTCCTTGGAAGACTCTACACTGGAGCTCGGCTTACGTAGCTTAATATTTGCCCATTCAACCGGTGAACCGTCCGCTCCAGGAGAATTTACTCCAGGGCCAACATCAACGCTTGGATTTCTCTTTAACGTTTTCTGAAAAAGTAGAACACGTTCAGTTGTTAAACATTCTCTTTAACCCCATACTTGAATTCGATAGAATACGACTCAAAAAAGAGCGTAAAACCCGCCAAACCAAATTAGGATCAGTCAGCCAATCAGAAGAAAGGAAAATACTTTTAAGGGTCAATAAGTCAAAGAATTAAAGTAAGAACAACCAAACTAACTAAAGCGCGGGAAAACGCGGGTGACCATGTCAGGATTGGTTTCAGTTCTGTATCTGATTGGTTGAGAGAGTAGCGCGAGTTTTCTGGACCAATAACAGAGCAAAGTAAATGAAAAACAAAGCAGTCCCTGGTTACTTTTGACACCCGATTAAGATTTTCTCTCTCAAGTTTATTTACTCGTAAACAAAGGATCAGTTATATTCACACTTTCCTCCTTGAAATTTTTGCATACACATCTTCGCGGTCACTTTCATAACAAAAAACATAACCGTTTTGATCTGTTGTTTTTGTTTGTCGCCCCTGGTAGTGATGTTGACGTCTTTGTTTGTTTGTTTTCTTTTTTTAATTTCACTTTCTGTTCACGCTGATTGAGATTTTTTTCTATAATTCTTTTCACAAAAAATCTCTATATAATTGTACTTAATTATCAACTTGAAATGACTCAAAACAAGCGCAGATTGTGTCGTACTTCCATATACATCGTTACTTTTCGTGCAACGGTAAAAATACTTTTTGATAATTGACAAAATATAGATGGAGTAATTCATTTGCCTACCAATAAATTTCCTAAATCTGACATGGCATCTGTGTCATCACTCTCGCTGCTAGTGGTGGAAGGCTTAAAACAAACAGGGTTAGTTACAAACTGCACGTTAAGAAGACAAATCCGCCATACTGGCACAGAGGCGTGTGAAACTGGGAAAGTAAAGGTAAAGTTTATAAAGTGATTCCAAGTCGTTTAAAAACAAATTAAAAAAAAAGGAAAAGAAGAACTGTTTTTAATAGTTCTAATAACAGTAAAGAAAGTTGAACACTTACACTTTTGACAGGTTTCAGTTGTATATTCCCAGTCTTGATTCTCTGCATCATTTCAGACATAGCAACAGCCATTGGATCCTTAGGAGCTGGGAAAACAAAATTTTATCATAATTAAAACAAGTTACAATCTATGCTCCCGCCAACCAACTAACAGGCCGACTGATCAACTCACCAACTGACAGATGAAATGACTCTCCGACCGACCACACAACTAACCAGATAACCAACTGACAAATCAATAAACCAGTTGATGGTCCGACCAACCGAAACATTGACTAACTGACCTACTGACCGATCAACCAGCCGGCTACAAAGGACACAACACAACGGTCACGCGTCAGGCATAGGCGAGGTAACAATTTTGGCCGCCCACGCGCCAATTTCCCGCGCAAAATATCAATGGAAAAATAAGAAACAATTGCTGTCTCGTAGATAAGCTAAATATAATTGAAACATTTATAGAAATCTGTA